ACCTCACCACTGTCTCATTGCTGTCTCACAGCTCACCCCTGTCTCACATCTCACCACTGTCTCACTGCTGTCTCACAGCTCACCGCTGTCTCATACCTCACCACTGTCTCACACCTCACCACTGTCTCACTGCTGTCTCACACTAACTGCTGTCTCATACCTCACCACTGTCTCACACCTCACAACTGTCTCACTGCTATCTCACACCTCACCAATGTCTCACTGCTGTCTTACACCTAACTGGTGTCTCTCACCTCACCACTGTCTCATTGCTGTCTCACAGCTCACCCCTGTCTCACATCTCACCACTGTCTCACTGCTGTCTCACAGCTCACTGCTGTCTCATGCCTCACCACTGTCTCACTGCTGTCTCACAGCTCACCGCTGTCTCACACCTCACCACTGTCTCATACATCACCACTGTCTCACTGCTGTCTCACAGCTCCCCGTTGTCTCACACCTCACCACTGTCTAACTGCTGTCTCACAGCACACTGCTGTCTCACACCTCACCACTGTCTCACTACTGTCTCATACCTCACCACTTTCTCACACCTCACCACTGTCTCACTGCTATCTCACACCTCACCACTGTGTCATACCTCACCACTGTCTCACTGCTGTCTTACACCTAACTGCTGTCTCTCACCTCAGCACTGTCTCACTGCTGTCTCACAGCCCACCACTGTCTCACAGCTCACCGCTGTCTCACACCTCACCACTGTTTCACTGCTGTCTCACAGCTCACTGCTGTCTCACACCTCACCACTGTCTCACTGCTCTGTCAAACCTCACCACTGTCTCACTGCTGTCTTGACACCTAACTGCTGTCTCTCACCTCAGCACTGTCTCACTGCTGTCTCACAGCCCAACACTGGCTCACACCTCACCACTGTCTCACATCTGTCTCACAGTTCACTGCTGTCTCACAGCTCACCGCTGTCTCACACCTCATAGCTGTCTCATACCTCACCACTGTCTCACTGCTGTCTCACACCTCACCACTGTCTCACACCTCACAACTGTCTTATACCACACCACTGTCTTATACCTCACCACTGTCTCACTGCTGTCTCACAGCTCACTGCTGTCTCACACCTCACAGCTGTCTCACACCTCACCACTGTCTCACTGCTGTCTCACACCTCACCACTGTCTTATACAACACCACTGTCTCACAGCTCACTGCTGTCTCACACCTCACCACTGTCTCACACCTCATCACTGTCTCACTGCTGTTTCACAGCTCACTTCTGTCTCACACCTCACCACTGTCTCAGTGCTGTCTCATACCTCACCACTGTCTCACTGCTATCTCACACCTCACCACTGTGTCATACCCCACCACTGTCTCACTGCTCTCTTACACCTAACTGCTGTCTCTCACCTCAGCACTGTCTCACTCCTGTCTCACAGCCCACCGCTGTCTCACAGTTCACCACTATCTCACACCTCACCACTGTCTCACTGCTGTCTCACAGCTCACTGCTGTCTCACACCTCACCACTGTCTCACCTCTGTCTAACAGCTCACTGCTCTCTCACACATCACCAATATGTCATACCTCACCACTGTGTCATCCGTCAAAACTGTCTCACTGCTGTCTTACACCTAACTGCTGTCTCTCACCTCAGCACTGTCTCACTTCTGTCTCACAGCCCACTACTGTCTCACACCTCACCACTGTCTCACAGCTGTCTAACAGCTCACTGCTATTTCACACCTCACCACTGTTTCATACCTCACCACTGTCTCACTGCTCTCTTACACCTAACTGCTGTCTCTCACCTCAGCACTGTCTCACTCCTGTCTCACAACCCACCGCTGTCTCACAGTTCACCACTGTCTCACACCTCACCACTGTCTCACTGCTGTCTCACAGCTCACTGCTGTCTCACACCTCACCACTGTCTCACTGCTGTCTAACAGCTCACTGCTCTCTCACACCTCACCAATATGTCATGCCTCAACACTGTCTCACCACTCTCTCACACCTCACCACTGTGTCATCCGTCAAAACTGTCTCACTGCTGTCTTACACCTAACTGCTGTCTCTCACCTCAGCACTGTCTCACTTCTGTCTCACAGCCCACTACTGTCTCACACATCACCACTGTCTCGCAGCTGTCTAACAGCTCACTGCTGTCTCACACCTCGCCACTCTCTCATACCTCACCAGTGTCTCACTGTTGTCTCACACCTAACTGCTGTCTCATACCTCACAGCTGTCTCACTGCTATTTCACACCTCACCACTGTTTCATACCTCACCACTGTGTCATCCGTCAAAACTGTCTCACTGCTGTCTTACACCTAACTGCTGTCTCTCACCTCAGCACTGTCTCACTTCTGTCTCACAGCCCACTACTGTCTCACACCTCACCACTGTCTCGCAGCTGTCTAACAGCTCACTGCTGTCTCACACCTCGCCACTCTCTCATACCTCACCACTGTCTCACTGTTGTCTCACACCTAACTGCTGTCTCATACCTCACAGCTGTCTCACACCTCGCCACTCTCTCATACCTCACCAGTGTCTCACTGTTGTCTCACACCTAACTGCTGTCTCATACCTCACAGCTGTCTCACTGCTATTTCACACCTCACCACTGTTTCATACCTCACCACTGTGTCATCCGTCAAAACTGTCTCAATGCTGTCTTACACCTAACTGCTGTCTCTCACCTCAGCACTGTCTCACTTCTGTCTCACAGCCCACTACTGTCTCACACCTCACCACTGTCTCGCAGCTGTCTAACAGCTCACTGCTGTCTCACACCTCGCCACTCTCTCATACCTCACCACTGTCTCACTGTTGTCTCACACCTAACTGCTGTCTCATACCTCACAGCTGTCTCACACCTCGCCACTCTCTCATACCTCACCAGTGTCTCACTGTTGTCTCACACCTAACTGCTGTCTCATACCTCACAGCTGTCTCACTGCTATTTCACACCTCACCACTGTTTCATACCTCACCACTGTGTCATCCGTCAAAACTGTCTCACTGCTGTCTTACACCTAACTGCTGTCTCTCACCTCAGCACTGTCTCACTTCTGTCTCACAGCCCACTACTGTCTCACACCTCACCACTGTCTCGCAGCTGTCTAACAGCTCACTGCTGTCTCACACCTCGCCACTCTCTCATACCTCACCACTGTCTCACTGTTGTCTCACACCTAACTGCTGTCTCATACCTCACAGCTGTCTCACTGCTATTTCACACCTCACCACTGTTTCATACCTCACCACTGTCTCACTACTGTCTCACAGCTCACCGCTGTCTCACATCTCACCACTGTCTCACTGCTGTCTTACACCTCACCACTGTCTCACTGCTGTCTCACACCTATTTGCTGTCTCTCACCTCAGCACTGTCTCACTCCTGTCTCACAGCCCACCGCTGTCTCACAGTTCACCACTGTCTCACACCTCACCACTGTCTCATTGCTGTCTCACACCTCACCACTGTCTCACCGCTGTCTAACAGCTCACTACTCTCTCACACTTCACCAATATGTCATACCTCACCACTGTCTCACCACTCTCTCACACCTCACCACTGTGTCATCTGTCAAAACTGTCTCACTGCTGTCTTGCACCTAACTGCTGTCTCCCACCTCAGCACTGTCTCACTTCTGTCTCACAGCCCACTACTGTCTCACACCTCACCACTGTCTCACAGCTGTCTAACAGCTCACTGCTGTCTCACACCTCGCCACTCTCTCATACCTCACCACTGTCTCACTGTTGTCTCACACCTAACTGCTGTCTCATACCTCACAGCTGTCTCACTGCTATTTCACACCTCACCACTGTTTCATACCTCACCACTGTCTCACTGCTGTCTCACAGCTCACCGCTGTCTTACACCTCACCACTCTCTCACTGCTGTCTCACAGCTCACCGTTGTCTCACACCTCACCACCGTCTGACAGCTCATGGCTGTCTCACACCTCATTACTGTCTCACTGCTGTCTCACAGCTCACTGTTCTCTCACACCTCACCACTGTCTCTCTGCTGTCTCACACCTAACTGTCGTCTCATACCTCACCACTGTCTCACACCTCACCACTGTCTCACTGCTATCTCACATCTCATCACTGTGTCATACCTCACCACTGTCTCACTTCTGTCTCACAGCTCACCGCTGTCTCACGCCTCACCCCTGTCTCATACCTCAAAACTGTCTCACAGCTCACTGCTGTCTCATACCTCACTGCTGTTTCTCAGCTCACTGCTGTCTCATTCCTCACCACTGTCTCACAGCTCACTGCTGTCTCATATCTCACCACTTTCTCATACCTCACTGCTGTCTCATACCTAACTGCTGTCCTACAGCTCACTGTCGTCTCATACCTCACCACTGTCTCACAGCTCACTGCTGTCTCATACCTCACTGCTGTCTCACACCTCACTGCTATCTCATACCTAAATGCTGTCCCACAGCTCACTGTCGTCTCATACCTCACCACTGTCTCACAGCTCACTGCTGTCTCATACCTAACTGCTGTCCCACATTTCATTGTCGTCTCATACCTCACCACTGTGTCACAGCTCACTGCTGTCTCATACGTCACTGCTGTCTCACACCTCACTGCTGTCTCACAGACCACTGCTGTCTCACACCTCACTGCTGTCTCACAGCTCACTGCTGTCACACACCTCACCACTGTCTAACAGCTCACTGCTGTTTCATACCTCACCACTGTCTCACACCTCACTGCTGTCTCACAACTCTCACACATCTTCTGCACCACTATAAAATCCTTCTCTGCCACTCCAGACCTCCCCCTGACCACAGCTCCTCTTAACACCCTGTCATACGCTTTCTCTAAATCTACAGAGACACAGTGATCCTCTATCTGATGTTTAGATCCTTTACTCTGAAGACGATATTACTTTTTGACATTCCTTGAACCCGTAAGCATCCTTGAAAGATAGGAATGATGTTCCTGATGAGAATGAGTGAGCAGAGGGATGAAACAGAACTGATGTACCTAGCAGCTTCAGCCTCTTCCTCCTTCTCCTGAAGTCTGCGCTCCATGTCTACTTTAGACTGAGACAACTCCTGCTGAAGCCTCAGAACTTTGGACTCCTCAGCCTGGGGACAGAAAAAAGAATAGAAAAATCTGCAAGAATATGAGTGGAGAAGGTAGGGTGGGTGTACATGCACCACAGAGGCGGACTGGCAATTTGTGAGTTCTGGAGAATCCCAGAACGGCTTGTGTGCTCGTGCTGGTGATGAGCTAGCTTTAGCGGCTAGCGGAGATGTCTGTTTCATACCTCCAAAGCTGCCTCAGATTCCTCTAGTGAAGCCTGTATCTCTTCTTTTTCCATCTCAATCTTCTTCTTTGCTTTTTGGAGCTCATGGACATTCTTCCCTCCATCTGACAGCTGGTCTGCTAGGTCAGCGATCTCCTCTGGGAATCAAAGAACACGTTGTTGCTACCTGGTCATATTAGCTGAGCACTGTGCTAGAAGCAAATTATAATTTCTAATAATTTACTCAAAAACATTTTCACAAAAGTGCCAAAATGATGACAACTTTTGTTACATGTGTTAACCAACCATTCCAGCTTTTTTTTTAGCTCACTGTAAACTGTCAGCATCTGCTACATGTGAATAAGACTGTTGGGGAAATGACTGTTTTGTTGTTGTTGTTTTTCTCAGTTAAATGTAATAAATATTTTTTCTTTAATTTGATGGTTTAAAATAAGAAAGGATCACAAGATGTGACACCTCTTTGGGTCAAACTGCATTCCAGTGTGGACAAAGTCAGCTGCCATGGCTCAGCCCCCAAACTGGTCTGGGCGTTTCCCTGGATAATAGCCTGTCATTTTCAGCTCATGTAAATAACATTGTCCACACTGCATACTTTCACCTACTTAACATCAACCACTTTCAACCTTCCCTCACCCATAAAGACACTGTCATACTAATTAATGCTTTGGTCGCGACCTGTCTGGATTACTGTAATGCACTGCTTTACGACTTACCACAGAAACTTCTTTATAAACTACAACTAGTACAAAATCCGGCAGCACGTATAATCTCTACAACATCACACCAGTTCTCAAAGAGCTGCATTGGCTGCATCAGAGTCGTATCAAATTCAAATTCAAAATTTTACTGCTAACATTTGAAGCCCTACACAATATGGCACCACCCTATTTAGGCCAACTCATTCAGGTCCATACACAATCTCGCGCTCTGCGCTGCTCAACAGGCAAACTTAATTCTTATCTGAATCTGGTGCCCTTGGAGCCTGTGAGGCTGAAGTGAAAACTCCCCCCTCAGAAGAAATGTGGAATGCTGCCGTCACTATGGAAACCCTTTCTCCCTATCCCAGCCTGGGCGGGACTGAGACCGGTGAAGGCCGTGGAACCGGATCTAGGAGTCAGTGTGCCCTCTAACCCATTATCTCCCTCCCGTCCAAATGGAGGTGATGAGCGCTGCTCCATGCAGCTGCACACACTGAAGTGAGGAGAGTCCCAACCCTACCTCCCCACCTAGTGGACACTTAGGTTGTGTAATGTCTGAAGTCTGTGTGCATTTCTGTCTGAGGTGTTTTTTTTGCATAGCTAAGCTACCCTCTCTGTTGAGGGCAACAATGAAGTGCCTTTTTTCCCTCCCCCTGACTCTATCCTCATATAAACCCTCTTGATCTAATAAGGCAGTGCGACTCGTGTTGCGAATGACCACAATCACCATTTCTTGTCATGTGTCTATGTATGTATGTCTGATCTCAGAATTGTGTGTACTGAAACTCTAATTTCCCTCTGGGATTAATAAAGTATCTTTGAATTTGAATTGAATTGAATCATGTGTGAAGCTGTTTACCCTGGTAGGCCTTGCTGTCCCTGCGTACAGCATCCAGCTGCTCCAGGCACTCCTCATGAGCTGTCTTGAGTTTAAAGAGCTCTCCGGCATGTTGTCTGCTCTCCTTCTGGCAGGCCTCCACCTCAGCCACCAGCTCCTCACACTTCTGCCTCCAGTCTCCAAGCTGCTTCTCCAAAACTCGTTGCTTCTTATCTAGAGCCTGACCACAGCTGCTGGCCTGAGGAAGCAAAAATGCTGGGACCAAACCTTGGCTGCAAATTTTACTGCACCAGGCAACATGCGTCTCTGTACCTTGTCCAGGTCCATACAGAGCTCCTCCACTTCTCCTTGCAGCCTCTGCTTGTTTTTTTCTAGTGAGGAACATTTGACCTGGGTGGCTTCCATGGTCTTCTCTGCCTCTTGAAGTCTCGCTGCCAGTCTCTTCCTGTAAAAAGCGCATCATCAGGACATCAACGTATACTGGATACATGTTATCACAACAAGTGGGTCACCAAAGTCAACACACTTTGTCTCCTCCAGCTCTTCTGCATGCTGGATGGCGTCAGCTTCATATTTAGTCTTCCAGTGTGTCACCTCGCTGTTGAGTTTGGAAACAAGGCGCTGCATCTCCTGCTTGCAGTCCTGCTCCTCTTCCAGCTGGTCCCTCAGCACCTCACATTGCTGCTGTACTGAGTTCAGACTGCTGCTGACAGCCTGTTTACACTGATCACACACACACACACACACACACACACGCACGCACGCACGCACACACAGACACACACACACACACACACATTAATCAGACCAAACATCTGGATTCCTCTGGTCTCACTGCATAAACACTGACCTTGACTTCCTCATCCAGCTGTTTCTTCAGCTCCTCGAGCTGGGACTGGACAAGAGTCTTGGAGCGGGTCAGCTGGGTCACTCTGCTCTCGGCCTCCTCCATCTGTCTGCTCATGTCGGCGTTATCAGCTGACGGGACAACATATTCCTGTAACTGACCCCGGCTACACAGCCCAGCTATTTTATAATTTTCCCACTGTGGGACTAATAAAGGCATTCTCACACACAACATAATCTAAACAAGTCTTCTGCTTATCTTGGACACAGGGCATCAGCCATGTTTCTGGTAAATAAATTAAATCCCTGTTTTAGCCAAAACATGGCTCAGTATGGAGACAGTTCAGGGAGATTTGTTGGTGGGCTGCACCACCCAAAAAAGAACGATGAAGGGTCTGAAGATCCTGCCTACTCAAGATCAGAACTACACCAAGCAAGGTTCTGGTCCTAGAAAATAAAGACTCTGACGTGTATTCATATTTTGGTCTGGAAAAGCTCCTGGAAGGGGTGGGGCTTAAAACTTATAACCAATTTTGCTCTCTTTTGGCTTTATTTTTTGCATAAGTTTAGCTGAGATGTCTCATGATTTTTCTCCACAACCTTCATGCACTTGTGTGATAAGAATTCCGAACATTAAACACCCTCAGAACATTTATCATCCCCCATCTTTACTGCTGACAAACCTCTACTGCTCCCTTGGCTGTGATCCACCATGTTGTGTCATGTTTCTGCAGATTCTATCTGCGTCCTGGTTTCAGGAAGTTGTGTCTGACATGCAGCCCTAGGCCACTCACAGGACCGAACCCTCACTGATGTGGGGAAAGAGGCTTGTCAGTTTGAGTAGTTTATTTTGACAAACGTGATGTAAAATTTGTGCTGCAGCCTGTCCCAGGAGAGTCTAAAACGCTCCAGTCTGCTAAGCATTAGAGAGAAATCCAAGACCCAGGATGTGTTCAGCTGTGCAGCAGATCGGAGAAAGGATAAGATGGAGCTGTTGAGGGTTTTTGTGGTAGGATTTAGTGATGCTGGGATGTTTCTGATGATTAACGACCACCAATGGTTTCTTTATTGATGGGTTCATCCAGCTCTGTTGCTGTGTTACTGTAGTTACCTAGCTGAGGAAGGTGGTCCAGGAAGTGTCCAGGTTTGGTCCTTCTCTGTGAATGGCTGCCTGTCAGATGCTGTTTAGTCAGTGGTGTATAAATGTAGAGATTATGAAAGCTCTGGTCCAAGAGGCTGTGGTACACTCTCTAGCTCCTACGGTTCCCAAGGCATTCTTGGGTTTTAGCCTAGCGTAGCAACCAGAGGGCATCTATATCAACCAACTTGGCAGACAGATCAAGTTTTAGATCTCACAGACCGAGTCCTCTACCAGTCTGGGTTTACCCGGCATTGGTCTGGATCTAAATAGTGGCAGTGATCAGGTGACAGCCCTCCTCACTGACCTTGAGGACCTTGGGACCTGGTACATTTAGGGTCTAGTGTTTCCTCAAACCTCTGGTTTATAATGGACAATCCACATCTGGCACAGAAGGTCAATAATAAAATGACCTTTCCTGCCACGCCTTTCAGGATGACATCACAATTTTCCACATGAGCACTGATGTCTCCCTGGAGACTGACAGAATCCCCAGCTTCCACCCCTTACAGAACACCTTCCAGAGATCCAGAAAGGCTAGAAATGTGAGCTGGTGCTAGTCTCACATGCACAAACAACAGCCAGAACCTTCCTAGTTTAACATGGAGAGTCTCCAAACCGAGTTGCTCTGTGGAGGAGTGTGACTGATTGTCCACCTGCCACCTCACCATTTGGTAATCCCAAAGCAGAGTCCAGCCACACTCCCCAGGATCAGGGATCCAGAGCCTTACTTTATCTGGCTGGTATTGCATAACCCCAACAGGAAGTGTTCTTCTGTGGCCAGACCAAGTCCCCATAATCTGCAATAAATTTGAAGCCAACACGGAAGTGGCCAAAATTGAAGTTCCACCCTCATCCACTGGGATCTGGCAGCAGAAGCTCGGATGTTAATCATGGAATTATTTGGACAAAAAGGCACAACGTGGTTATCGATTACACTAACAGACCATCCAACCAGTTTCTGCTTCATTTTATCAGTATGTAAATTTATATTTCTGCACTTTATTTTGCTGGTTGAATGGGGAGAAATGCTGTCATTTAACTGCTTGGTCAAATATATTAGTGGGGCTGCATAAGAACCTTGAGCGGGTGCCCAGCTTCTCCTGCCTCCTGCCCGGGAACAGTTGTTAGAGCAGGCGGCTGGCTGTTCCCGTTTCCCGGGGCAGCCGGGCCGTCTCCGATGCAAGTCTGTAGTCAGGCTGGTCGTTGGTGGATCTCTGAGGGAGACCACAGAAACACTGCGGCTCTTTTAGTTGACGCTGTTTCACTTTTGATTTGCTCAACTGCATTTTCTTGCTTATAGTTTGCTGGTTGAATGGGGGAAATTTCTGCGTGTTTACCATAACACTGCTTGGTCTAAGACGGGTTGAAATATGTGTTGTTGTGGCTGCTGGGTTAAAAAAAAGTAGAGCTAAAGATCTGACCGGGGATAGCGGAGGCTATCGAGCGTCGCTGTTCCACCACGGTAAAAGATCCGCCATTATCGACTTGGCTCTCAGCTCCGTGGGGTGTCGACACAGCGGCAGACTCACGGATCTTTGAACGAGGTAGACCCGATACCCTCTGTCAGTGTACCTGGTTATGATTTTGTTACTAAGCAGGCTGGAGGGGCCTTCACTTTGGAGTCACTCTACCACTTTTTTCTTGCTAAAAACATCTGGAGAAACTCTGTTAGCTGCGGGTTAGCATGTAGCAAATATCTCGCTGGAGCAAGAGCTGATGTAAAAGGCGACGGTGCCCGGCTACGATCGCAGCGGTCTCAGGCTCCACTTGTTAATTAACAGCCCCGGTCCATATTAGATCTCCACAGGCGACCAGCATGACTACAGCCTCGCACGGAAGCCAGTCTGCCATGCGGGTGGGATACCCCGGTTTCCTGAGCCCTTCCTATCTCCTTGGGTTAGTTAGTAGCTACATTGGTTCATTTGTTCCAACTGTAACAGCTCCACCCTCAGCTCCACCTCTTTTCCCATTTTTGGATTGTCTGGGTGTGAAGAGATGTGTGACATGGTGAAAATGGCGGTAGTGTGAACCTCCCATTTGGAAACCAAACCTTATATTTCAAGCCTATGGACATGAATATCCAGTATATATGTCAATGGTCCAGACAGACTGTCTGTGGCTAAGGCACAAGGACTGGTGAGCTGTGGTGTACCTGTGAGTCTGGTCTTGGACACACTGATCTCCGTGAGCATCCTCTGCAGCTCGTCTCCTCTCCTGTTGGCCTCAAACAGCTGTTCCTCCAGTTTCTTTATCTGGTTTTCTGATGCCATCTGCAGCACAACACAGGAACTAAGACACAGAACTGCTTTGTTGAAACCAAACAGTTCACTCCCTCCCTGACCTTAGCTTTCTGTAGGCTATCCAGTGACGTGGCCAAGTCGTCCACTTCCATCCTCAGGTTCTGCTTGTCCTTCTCCAGTTTGGCTCTGGTCCGCTGCAGAGCCTCACACTGCTCGCTCAGCTCTGCCACCAACTCGCTGTGTCGCTTCCTCAGTGCTGCAGAAAGCGCCTCTGATTGGACAGATGACTCCTCCAGCTCTCGTTTCAGACGCTGCAGCTCAGCTTCTCGCTTCTTGTTCACCTCCATCTGTTTGTCACACAGAGGCTGTATTTGGACTGCAGCCTTTTCTTTGAGTCAGAATTTTCTGAATGTTGTCGCATGACCCCACTAGGCTGTGTGTGATCATCAGGAGACGTGACGTACCTGTGAAGCAGTGACTCCTCCTGCTTCCTCCAGCCGATCCGTCAGATCATCAATTTCTTTAAGGAGATCTGCTCGCTGCTTCTCCACCTGCCAGACACACGGGCCTTACAGGATGGTAACAGGAAAAACACCAGTCTGGAGGTATGTGATAGAGAGCTAACGAGCTTCAGACCCAAACCTTCAGCACCAGCAGTATAATACTATGGGATGTTTGAACCCTGTAGAAAGTGTAAGGAAAACTGCTGCCAATGGCTCATGGAGATCACTATGGTTACCCCCACCTGTGTCTCTCCCTCTCTGACAATAAATCTAATGAGAGTCAGACAGGAAGTCAGAGTAAATCTTAAAAACATCAGTCAAACAGCTGCTGGATAAATGTTTGGTGAAACTGATTACATAAAAAAAATTCAGTTAATGAAACTCAAAAATAGCAGAAAAACACACTTTATTTAATTGCTTAGATTTATATTTTTAACCCTCCCACTGCCCTAATGGTTGTGACCCCGCGAGGAAAGTTGACCATTGAGCAGGGTTGATGGTTTATCCCTTGGGTCCATGTGGAAGGGGTGAGGTGGTGCTCATATGGAGCTAGGATTGGGACTCGGGATTCATCAACCTACCGGAGAAAATCCTTCTGAAACACCAAAAATGAACTACGGTCAATACAGCAGCGGGGGCTGTTTGGAACTATTCGAAACTACATGAACCACGTCACTTCCCCATTCCATAGGAGTCTATTGGAGTGTCGTAACTCTCTCTAAAGCTCTGACAGAACCCTGCCCTCCTCTCCCAATGATTGGACAGGAATTCGAGAAATGTGATCGGTAGCTAAGACTCGTGCTGTCATTGGTTCCACCCAAGTTCCTCCCACTGACGCTAGAATTGAGACAAAATGATCTGTAACACTGTAGATTTGAGGTTTGTACCTGTAGAATGAAATGTGTGTTTTGAGAGTTTTGATTTCAAACTTGTACATTGATTTTTTTATTTTGGAAGTCTGCTAGGTAAAAACCGAAAGTTTCATGTTTCTGAATGAATGTTTGATGTTATAAAATGAGTAGTAAATGTACAAAATCAAAATTTCCTGTTACAAAACAAGAAATACATGTACAAATTGAGAATTACAAGTTAGAAAACTAAAGTTACAAGTTACGAATCCAAAGTGACATGTCATGAAACATGTTCCAAGTTACAAAACTTGGTACAAGTTACACTGAATATTGTCCCAATCCTAGCTCCATAGAGCACCACCTCACCCCTGCCACGTGGACTCAAGGGATAAACCATCAACCCTGCTCAATGGTCAACTTTCCTCGCGGGGTCACAGTGGGAGGGTTAAACAAAGTGAATATTTATTTGTAAGTTAAGTACGTATATTTTTCTGGGTTTTCTCTACTTCACATCCTTAGTTTGTAGTACTAATTTAAAATAAGTATAAAATACTTGACATTTTTAACTATGCCATTGTTAACCCAGATAAGTTGAATTTACTTAAAGAGCTAATATCGCCTAAATTAACTTATTTTTGCTGATAACCTGTATAGACGAGTGTCTAATGGTGCTGTACACGTGTAATCATTAGTGTGGCAGTTTAGTGCAACTTACTCTAAATGTAATATTTCAGCCCAAAACCACAATTATATCTCCATCTTCAGGTTAAAAACTCTGCTCCACATTCATGTAGAACCAGCTGATGGCTGATGGATGAGCTGAAAAACGTGACGTTGTCAGCAAATTAGTACGTGGCTGCACTGCACTGGTCTCCAGGTGAGGCAGTCGCACCGCCACCTGGCTCAGCCACTCATCTGCTGATTTGACACATGAGCGCTCTGAGCCGCTCGACCCCTTGAAAAAAAGGCACTCCTCCCCTTTTTCATCGAATGATCGGTTTAACAGGAAATCCTCCAGAATGCTCTCTTTTCTCCTGCGCGGTAAGTCTTGTGTGAGTGCGTGCACACGCTTGTGAACAACTTGTTGTTAGATCGAGAAACTCTGACACTGACAGCAGTGCTGTGACGCTGGACGTCATCAGGCTAGTAGACACACAAGTTTCTAACAAAATGAGCTTTACTGTAATGCACTTTCCCCTTATTATCATGACTTTTAAACAGATTCCTAATCACCATTTTGCCTCATCTAGATTAGAATATTACGCAATACTTTCTCATGGGATCCACCGGTGTAGACTGCCTCTACGGTCTGTTTGTCCCGTCTGTAACGGCCTGTACTTCTGCAGAGCCATCAGCAGGTGGAGACGGTTCTCTGGCCCTTTACAAGCTTGGTTAGTAAATCAGTTCACATTTTTAATTGTTTGATTCTGACACTTAGAGATGAATGCTTAAAAACATTTGTCCAAACACTCTCGGTCATGACCCTGTGCAACTGGGCATATATCTCCCATCTCCTCCGCCTGTAGACGAGAGGCTGGTGTTGACTCAGTCAGGAGAGCGATGAGTGAGCTGAGCGCTCAGCATCATGGGGTTTTGGAACCGAGCAGGGCTTCATGGAACAGATGTGCCATATGTCGTTGTTTGTGGTTCTTTATCGTACACAGAGTAAATAGAGCCTGTTTTTACCTTTGCTGACATGTTTCACCTTCGCCAGAGCAACTATTGATCATGGTGGCGTCACAGTTTATTTGTGGGTGATATCACTCTCTACTGCCCATGTCTTCTCTGTAGATCACCATGTTCCGTGGGTGGTCCAGCATGTATACTCCTTCGTCCCTGTTCATTGTCTTGGGTCCACGCCTCCTTATCTCTAGCACTTCTGATCCGTCTACTTTATCTTTGTGGTTCTGTGTTTATGGTCCATGTTCCTTCGCAGTCTATTATGTGGTTTTCTCTTGTGCAGTGGTCTGTTATGGCTGATTTCTTTATTACTGCTCTTGTGTGTCTGCGACTTGTTTCTTTCTCACACTCTTTCCTATGTTCTATTTCGTGTGCTGAGTTGGCGTCTGGTTTCTACTCGTCATCGTCGTCGTTGTCTTCCTCCACTTATCCGGGTCCGGGTCGCGGGGGCAGCATCCCAACTAGGGAGCTCCAGACCGTCCTCTCCCCGGCCACCTCCACCAGCTCCTCCGGCAGGACCCCAAGGCGTTCCCGGACCAGATTGGAGATGTAACCTCTCCAACGTGTCCTGGGTCGACCCGGGGGCCTCCTGCCGGCAGGACGTGCCCGAAACACCTCCCCGGGGAGGCGTCCAGGAGGCATCCTGACCAGATGCCCAAACCACCTCAACTGACTCATTTCGATCCGGAGGAGCAGCGGTTCTACTCCGAGTCCCTCCCGGATGTCCGAGCTCCTCACCCTATCTCTAAGGCTGAGCCCGGCCACCCTACGGAGGAAACTCATTTCGGCCGCTTGTATCCGCGATCTCTTTCTTTCGGTCATTACCCAAAGCTCATGACCATAGGTGAGGATTGGGACGTATATAGACCATTAATTCGATCGATTTATTGATCGGGTTATCACAGGTTTTGGTTCAGTTTTCAGTTTTTGTAGTTTTTTGTTTTGTTTAGTCATTTTTTTGTTGTTGTTGTTTTGCTTTGTTTATTGCCCATGTTGGGTATCTGCAAGTTATTAAAGCCTTCTGTTTGTGTTGGTCCTCTTGTCTGCGGTCTCGCTCTTCTGTTGTTATGTTCACTCGGCGGTGTTCTGATTACTGACATTTTATGTATGGTAGCATGATCTAGTGTCCATAATAAATAATGGTCTAAGTGTGTTGGTTTCCTGTAAGTGTTTATTATAAAAATCAAATCAACTTTATTTATAAAGCCCCTTCCTACCTATCAAGGGAACCCAAAGGTGCTGAACAAAGTGTTAAGAACAACTAAAACACAGTAAAACAACTATTTAGTAAAATTCAGAAATACAAAATTTAAAATGCAATGAGAGATTAAAAAAGCATAAAACCAAAATGGTGAATCTGGACTGGAGGTGGGGAGGGGAGGGGTGATGGAGGTGGCTGACTGCCACGGGTCCAGCTTTGGTGAACTAGTCTGACCATCTATGGCCACCATGAAACCAGCGTTAACACCCGGTGTGAAGCCTGAAGACACGTTTCTAAGAAACGTTTTACAAAAATGTCTGGAGGTCTTAAGCAAATGTGTGGGATGTTTCAGATGAAATTCAGCAAAATCACAGAGCTACTCTCTGCTCAATAACACCAGAGAGGGAGAAACAATTTTATATTTATATGGCTGCATGGTGGCGCAGTGGTTAGCACTATTGCCTCACAGCACGAAGGTTGCAGGTTCGAAACTCGGCTGCGGCCTTTCTGCGTGGAGTTGCGTGTTCTCCTCATGCATGCGTGGGTTTCCTCCGGGTCCTCCGGTTTCCCCCACAGATCACAACATGCCCTATAGGTTATAAACTGTGGGTCGCTTTGGATAAAAGCGTCTGCTAAACAAATAAACACAAATAAATAAATATTAAGTAAAATAATGAATAATTACTCTGTTTAAAGATGCTCTCTGAGAGGAAACATTGGTTGGAATTGCTCCTTTCTAAATGGAAACCAGAAAACTGAACCAACTTCAGCTTTGTTTGAACTTCCACAACACAATTACACCAAAAAGTGTGTGTGTGTGTGTGTGTGTGTGTGTGTTTCTCATTCCAGCTGTGAGAGGATTCCCCTGGAAAATAGTTATCTGTCACCCTCAATCTCCTGAAGCTATCAGACCCACCGTGACCCAAGGAGCAGAGCCCAACAATGGAGAGCCTGTCTGGAGTGAAGGAATGCAGTAATTGAGCTGCTCTGAAGATGGAGGCTGTGGAACAGATAAAGACCTGCAAGCCCCTGCATGCCTCTCGCACTGCTCTGTGGCTTTTACAGGGTGAAGGGAATCCAGAGTGGGGGCAATACCACCCAGAGTGGGAAGAAGTGTGCAAAGCGTCCCCTCAGGCCTGCTGCCATCATATTCAACACTCGAGGTAAAACATGCATCTTTTGAAATTCTGGATTTACCTACCGTCACGTAAAGACTCTGGTTGTCTCTAGGAGGGTTGTAACAGCTTATCCACACCTGAGAGCACCTTGTTTAAACTAACAGGTACTTAAAGTGTCCTCACTGATGGATTGGTGTTGAATCGATCAGTTTAGTAGAAACTAAACATGACAACGTTTCAGGCATGTTTCTGGGCTGAAACCGTGTTTGCTTTGCTTTTGGGGGCAACGTTTGTGGATCAGAAGGAGTTCCCATCACTAGTAAGTAAACTGTTGCGTTGCCATTCCGCTCCGTTGATGCTTCCAGTGTGAAGTGGGGGGTTGGAGCAGCCCGATACCGTACCTCCACTGTCATTCTGCCCTCGTAACTTCAGCTGGTTCAGAATGCAGCAGCAAGGTGGTTGACCGGAGCTAATCGAAGACGCCACATTACACCTATCCTCAAATCTCTTCACTGCCTGCCGGTTCAGTCCAGGATTCATTTAAAAAATCTTCTTTTGTGATGAAATTTTTGAACAGTCTTCCTCCCCACCATCCGAGTGTGCTGCACCACCGCTGTCACCCTGCTCGTGCACTTAGTTCCGCCGATCAGCTCCTCCTCACCGGTTGTAAGGCACGTTCTGAGACCCGTGGGGAAAGGGCCTTTTCTATCTGTGCACCAAAACTCAGGAACTCTCTGCCTGTCCAGCTTAGGCAATCGCCATTTTAAAATGGCATCTGAAAACGCTCTATTTTCCCCTGGTTTTTAACTCTTAAACCTCGGTTTTAGTAAGAAGTCTATCAGCCTTCCCTCTTTCCATCTTGGCTGCTTAATTTTAAACCTGTTGCTTTTTTTGGCTGTATGCAGAGGGCTGCAGAGTGGTGTCTAATATGAAACCGGTCAATTTTCTAACCCAGCAATCATTGAGATCAATGTTAAAGCCTTAGCCTAAAGTTCAATAAACCATCTATTGTTACTTTAACTTCATAATCCGCACGACTACATTAGCTACATGTGGCTCGTCATTGTGGTGTGAAAGTGTGTGTGGATGGGTGAATGACTGATTGAGTTGTAAAGCGCTTTGGGGAGTTGTAGACAAACAGCTGTAGCCCAAGGTTAAAATAATTGTATAATTATGAATCATCATAAGGTTTTTAGCCTACATTTTTACGAAGTCAGTGGCACTCATTCACAGTTTAGTCTCAGAACAGCCACAAATAAAGAAAGGTACCCAAACATCCGAAATTTGGGAGTGCAACTGGACTCAGCCCTTAAATTCGACGCTCAAATCAACCAGGTTGTGCGATCGTGTTTTTTAACTTACGCAGACTAACCAAAATGAAGCCCCTGCTGTCCAGAGTACATCTAGAGACTGTCACACATGCTTTTGTTATTTCAAGGCTCGACTACTGCAATGCGCTGTATGCCGGCCTTAGTCAGGGTGCGGTAGCTCGCTTGTAGTTAGTACAAAACTCAGCCGCTAGGTTCGTGACAGGCACTAGGTGCAGGGAGCATATCACCCCTGTGTTGGCATCCCTTCATTGGCTGCCTGTGCAATATAGGGCACAATTCAAGGTCTTGGTGCTGGCATACAGGGCCTTACAAGGAACTGCTCCAGCATGTCTTGGCAACCTTTTGCATAGGCACGCCGCCTCGCGGGCCCTTCGCTCAGCTGGCAGGGAGCTGTTGATCGTTCCACACACTAAGTGCAGGTCACGGGGGGACCGTGCGTTCTCGGTGTTGGCACCTGCACTTTGGAACCAGTTGCCTTTGGTGGTGCGTCAGTCACCCTCATTGGAATTTTTAAGACTCGCCTTAAGACCCATTTTTTGTCAAGGCATTTCAGGTTTAGCAAATTTTACCCGGTTTCGATGCCCCGGCCTCTTAATCTTTTTCTGGATTTTATTTTTTGCTTTTACTCTCCTCTTTTAATGGATTTTATGTTGGTTTTACGATTGTTATATTTTATTCTGATGGTTTTATGTTTTTATTGTGTTGTGTTCAGCACCTTGGGCGTCTGCATTGGTTGCAGAAGGGCCTTTATAAATAAATAAAATCCTCCCAGAGGATCTCCTCCAACCATCCAACAACAGTTTGGTGATGACCAAGGTCTTCTCCAGCATGATGGAGCACCTGGCCAGAAGGATGAAGTCAGAACTTTGTTGATCAGTTACAAAACAACATGTTGGGTCCAAGTCGAAGAAACTCCCTAGACTTTTATCCCACTGAGAAATTGTGATCCATCTTCCAGAGGCAAGAGGACAAACACAAGCCCACAAAGCACTGATGATGAAGAACGTGCTCCATCAGACATGATCTTGGCCAGAAGATGATTGACAGCAGGTCAGAGTGAAGAACAGACCAATGCTGGGGATATTAAATGGTAAATTGCCTGCATTTGTGCAGTGCCTTCGTAGGGTTCCTCAACCCCCCAAAGCGCTTAACAACACAATCACACATTCACACCCTGATGGGGATGAGCTACAATGTAGCTACAGCTGCCCTGGGGGGCACTGACAGAGGCGAGGCCTGCTGAACACTGGCGCCACCGGTCCCTCCGACTACCACCAGCAGCCAAGGCGAGTTAAGTGTCTTGCCTAAGGACACAACAGCAGCATCAGAGTCGGGATTGAACCTGCAACCTTCTGATCACTGGACAACCCGCTCTACCTCCTGAACTGCTGCAGTCTTAACTCTTTAAAGAACCTTAATTTTCAATGAAAGCCTGAGAAACTGATTGATTTCTGTTTCAGTAACCATAGAAACATCTGACAAAAACATCTAGAAACACTGAAGCAGAAAACCTTTGGCCACAGACATAAACTACAGAAGTGAACCCCAGCCCTAAAACTATTGTGTTGTTGTTTCACCAGACGAGCCATTCCACCTTATCTGATGAGAAAGAAAGAAAGAAAGAAAGAAAGAAAGAAATCTTTTCTATAGCGACTCTCAGGATAAAAATCACGAGGCGCTTTACAAAAACAAAAAATATAAAATATAAATTTATTTTAAAAAGTATTGAAATGTGTTTAAAATGAGCAAAAATAGACAGTTGTGATGAAAAAATGTAAAGAAAGAGAGAGAGTGAATAGGAAAAACAGAAATCAGTGGATCCTGGGGAAGGCGAAATGGGTGGCGAGAGCAGAACAAGGACAGGGTGATGAAGGTCACCAAAGCCAGCTTGAACAAGTGAGTCTTCAGCTGCTTTTTAAATGAGACCACTGAGTCCACTGATGTCAGGCTCAGGGGGAGAGAGGTCCAGAGTCTGGGGGCCACAGCAGCAAATGATCTGTCACCTTTGGTCTTTAGCCTGGTGCTGCACAACCAGTAGGCTTTGGTCACTGGACCTCAGGGACCTGCTGGGGGTGTAGGCACTAAGAAGATCACCAATGTAAGATGGTGCTTGTCCATGTAAGGCCCTATAGACCAGAACCAGGATCTTGAAATGAACCCTGAAGTTGACTGGCAGCCAGTGAAGCTGGAGGAGAAGCGGGGTGATGTGGGTGTGTTTGGAGGACTTGGTCAGAAGCCGAGCACAGGCATTCTGAACCACCTGTAGACGGTTCAGGGAGGTTCTGCTCAGACACGTGAAGAGAGAGTTACAGTAGTCTAAGCGTGAGGAGATGAAGGTGTGGAGAACTGTAAACTCATACTTTACCTTGGCTCTCATAGCCCGCTCTGCCTCCAGCTCCTCCTCCAGCTCCTCAATGCGAGCCTAAAACAACAGAATGACAGATTTACACGAGCAGTGGAAGAAACAACCTGATAAACCACTCAGCTGGGACAAGAGTATTTTTTCCTCAGGTACCAATTTGGTAGCCTGGCCAGCCAGCCTCATGCTTCCTTATGGGAAGTGATCTCTGCCGCCACCAGCCTTCACATTTACCCTGACCCAGGATGGCGGGTTCTGTTTGGTCAGCAAGTCCAACAATCGAGGAATCTTTTCTGTTTACCTAGTTTTTCCACTTTTCTCATTGTTTTTAGTTTAATAAAAAATAAAGCAGAGATTTTTGGGGTGAATTTATACCATCAGGTTAGATTTGAATACATTTTAAACCTGGTGGGATCATCTCATTTTCATCATGTCCTGATACATAAACCTCAAAGCTGAAAGAGGGTGGGCTTTCCTCACCAAGAATGCATCTTCAACTGATCACCAACAGAGATAATAACCAGATACTATCATCTCTGATTTCTTCAGGGCTAATAAGAGATACACTTCTGTCCCGTATCCTGCATGTAGTTTTGGAACCAGACAGTAAACGAGGTGGAAAGCCCTGCCTGCTAACCTGGACACTATCATAGATGTTCCCTCTAGAGTTGTATGCACCATAACTGGAAATGTCTTGAATAAAACACAAGTTTCATATATGAGCATTTTTCATTGATCGGTATGATGGTACTCAGATCCTGACCCCTATTGTTGACCTTCTCAACGGGTTTAAAGGTAGAATATGGAGCACGAACACCAAATTAAAGATTTTATGGGCTCAGAAGCAGCTGCTTGACTTGCCGAGTCTGCCATCTCCACAGTGCCAGCCTCGCTGTACCGAGCGGACTGTTTGACAACCTGTAATGGTGCCCTCTACTGATCAATCAATCAATGAATCAATCAATCAATGAATCAATCAATCAATCAATCAATCAATCAATCAATCAATCAATCAATCAATCAATCAATCAATCAATCAATCAACCAATCAATGAAACTTTATTTGTATATAACCCATATTCCCATCTCTACCCCTACCCCCACCCCATCCCACAACCCATTTGCCAGGCCCACACACACACACACACACACACACACACACACACACACACACACACACACACACACACACACACACACACACACACACACACACACACACACACACACACACACACACACACACACACACACACACACACACACACACGCACACACACACACACACAAAACCTAAAGAACAGCATAACACTAGGCTGAGTTCAGATGGGTTAGCTAATGAATGACACACCATCAGGTGAGCCATCTGCCTCGGAAGTAGCAGTGGATTGACAGCGGCAGCCAAGGCACCAACCCAGGGCGCCCAGGGAAGGAGGGCGGAAACCCCCACCACCGCCTAAGCACATCCCTAGGAACGCCCAGGCCGTCACAGTCGACCACCACCCCCGAGGCAGAGGGCCCCACAGAGGAAACACTGGTATGATTAAAATAAGTAAAATAAAAAATAAAAAATACAAAAACAAATTAATAACAAATAACAATATTAATATTAATAATAATAGCTAATGAGGATGGCAAAATAACTAATAACTAATAAATAACTAATAAAAACGGATTAAAGAGATAGTAAAGCACTAAAACATAAATGTCTAATACCACTAAAATGGAAATAATAAAAGAAATGTATTAATTAACAAAACAGACAAGGCAGCTAAAAACAGATATCAGCTAAAAGCTAAGCTCTTAAAAACAAACATTCTCTTTGACGCTGAGGTCCTCTGGCAGCCTGTTCCAGAGACGAGGGCCTTAAAATTGGAGAACGCCTTGCCATGGGTATGTGTCCTGACTCTTGAAATCACAAGGAGACGGCTGCCAGAGGAGCGCAGAGGCTGCGAGGGTTTGTGAAGTAAAAGCAGTTCCGACAGATAAGAAGGCCCAAGACCATTAAGACACTTATAAACCATTAAGAGAACCTTAAAATCCATCCTGAAACATACTGGGAGGCGATGCGGCCATTCTAAGACTGGTGTAATGTGGTAGGTGTAAGGATGTAGGTTTGATCCCGGCTCCCACCGGACAATGCTGCTGTTGAGTCCTTGGGCAAGACACAACCCAGCTTGCCTACTGGTGGTGGTCAGAAGGACTGATTGGAACCCATTAGAGATGAATAAATCCTATCTGGACATCCCTGAGTTCCGCTAAATGTATTAGAGAACATTCGTACTTGAACGTGCAGCAGCAAGGTAAGAACAGCGTGAAAACAGGACTAAATACTTGGAAAGTCACTTTGTGGCATTTAGTTTTCAGTGAGGAAAACATCCCATTTATGAAGGGGGTGGGGCTTAAAACTTGTACTGCAGCCAACCAGTAGGGGGATCATCTTCTGCGTCATGTTCCTACATCTAACTATATGCATGTGAACTGACCATAGCCCCGAGTAAACGAGATCAACTGGATTAGAGGCCTCTCTTTACTTCCACAAGATCTTCTAAACTCATTCATCCACAATCAGCCCAGCCTCTCCAGCTAAACCCGTCAGAACATTTATCTTTCCTGCTGATAAACCTCTACTGCGCCCTTGGCTGTGTCCTACCGTGTTGTGTCATGTTTGGTGCTATCTGCAGATTCGATCTGGGTCTCGGTGTCAGAAAGGTGTGTCAGACATGCAGCCCTGGGCCGCTCACAGGACCCACCCCTCACTGACGAGGTGAGAGAGGCTCGTCCGCGACACAAAACTCCACGCAACAAAAGCTGTTGTCAATATCTTTGATCAGCCAAAGCAAAACTTAGTTTCAGATTTCCAACAAAAAGGCAATGAGATGGAAACCTTCCTGACTACGTTAACAATCTAAACCCAAACAATGAAAAATACTCACATGCCAGTGAAGCACTTCTGCAGAGAGAACAGCCATAGTGAGGCAGCAGCAGCCCGACTGACTGAATGAATGTGAGTGATGGGCTGGCTACCAACCCCCACCCCCCCACCCCCACCCCACCACCACGCGCACACACACACACACACACACACACACACACACACAGCTTCTCTGATGATCCCCTCTGACATGTCCACACCCCCTCTGCATGCTCGGCCTCTCTCCATCTTCCTGACAACTCACATGTGTGTTTCTTGTTACATTCCCACCTTCAGCAGCTTTAAAACCTACAAGTCCCAGAAGAAACAAAAGAACAACAATCTGTAGAACACAAAAATGTCACAGCAATGTTATAAAGTCTGATTGTGATTTAATTTAAACTCTTCTGTTTTTACATTTCTCCATAGTGACTAAAGGGCTGTTATCTCTTTTTGAACAATGCCACAAAAATGACCCAACATTTTGACAACTAACTGTATTATTTTATGGCGTTACATGCAAAATCTTGGCCTAAAGGTACAATATGTAAGAATGACACCCTGTGGTCAAATTTGGTTACTGCAGGCCATTTTTCTAAACAAAAACCCACTCTCTTAGGCTACGTTCACACTGCAGGCAAAAGTGCATAAAATCCACTTCTTTCCCCACATGCGAGCCACATCTGACAGTCTGAACGGCACAGATCCGATTTTTTTTAAATGCAATCTGTGTCACTTGAATATGTGGTACTGATTCCGACACAAATCAGACGTTTTTGAAAGCGATTGCAGTCTGAATGGTTATGTTACATAAAATCAGTCTCCCACATCACTGAGTCAGCAGGGGTGAGCGTCGTGTGTGGATGTTCCTGAGGAGAAGCGCAGACAGAAGGGTGCAGGAGTCTGTCAGACATCTTAATTTAGGTTTAGGAAGTACAAATGCAGGAGAGCATACGGGAGGTGCTGCTAGAGCGAAGTGAAGCGTTTCACCGGTCTTCGTCTCTGTGAATGGGGGAGGGGTCTCGGTGAATGAATTAATACAGAAACAATTTTGGTTAATAATAATTCAGGAAGACGGTGGGAACAAGGAGTAAAATAGTTTACAGATTTTTAAACACTTTCTAGCCCAAAACGGAAGAGTTAACAGGTGTGATCCTGTGGATGAGCTGTCAGTGAAGGCACATCACAGCTCGAGCTAGGCATTGCAGAACTCCGCCGCTCCGGGTTTCTCCACTGAGTGTGGCTTCTTTTCTTCTGTGCTTGTGGGTTGCTTTGGGGCCGTGAAGCATTCACACCGGAGAGAGTTTGATGTCGCATTTCAGTCGTAGTGTGAAAAGCCACACAAAACAAATCAGATTTACTCAAAAATCGGAATTGAGCATCAATCAATCAATCAATCAATCCATCCATCCATCCATCCATCCATCCATCCATCTATCTATCTATCTATCTATCTATCTATCTATCTATCTATCTATCTATCTATCTATCTATCTATCTATCTATCTATCTATCTATCTATCTATCTATCTATCTATCTATCTATCTATCTATCTATCTATCTATCTATCTATCCATCTATCCATCTATCCATCTATCCATCCATCTATCCATCTATCTATCCATCTATCCATCTATCCATCTATCTATCTATTTAAAGAACTTTGTTACAGCGATTGAGTTGAAATCTTTATGATTTGCTTGGTTAATTACCATCAGGGGCTACAGCCATTTTAGCCCTTCAGTTTGATTATATTTTTATTTAGTGCAGTGAGTTCTCTCACACGCAGTATAGGGTTCTTTTAATTTTATGCTTTTTCGCACCACCTTTTTGCATCTCACGTAGAGAGGGTTGCATCCATTTCTTCGCTTAGAGCTAATTCACATAATGCCTACACATAGTACTTGCAGGTACTCACAGTGATAGGTTTATATTTGTTTGTTGATTTGCATGAGGCACCATTTTGTTGTGTCTACAATGAAGTGCCCTGTGCTGTGCTCTCTCATCCCTGCTGAGTTCGAGATGATCCTGCTTCCTGAGGGTGGACCCGTCATCAGAATCTACTCCTCCTGGTTGGTGCTCCTGCTCGTTGGACCTGGACGTCCGTTGGTTCCGGCATGGCTGCTGGGATACTTCACTCGCTGGGACGACCTGTCTGCTGCTCTTCCCTTTTGCTGGATTACGATAAGTGCTATTACACAGATCAATTTGCTGTTTGGAATGATTCCAGACCCGTGGAGATATAAAGTTGCTGATGCTTCAATTTTTGCTTCCATGGGAATATCTGATAATCTACCAACTTGTGTGCTTCTCGAGGAGTATCCGAGACTGTTCTTCGGTGTGGGGTTCATACCTCACCACTGTTGGCCTCTTCCTGTGGGATTGCACCCTGCTCTGTTGTCGGGGTCCTTCATAACTCTGGTTTGTTCAATGACCAGGTGGTCTCTGGACGGACCACCGTGCCCTTGAAAAGGGGAGTATGTAACGTGATGAAGGAGCTATTTCCACCAAGGTTATTTAATCTTTTCCACAGTCCCTTTGACACAGTGCCAGAGTGCATGAAACAGCCTCAAGGTCATGCATTCACTTCTACACTGTTTACTTTCCATCAATGAAGACAGAAGATGAAGAGACTCTTTTCTTTTATTAAATCAAATAACTCTATTTTCAATAAAGCTAATCAAAACAACTGTTAGTCAATACTACAATGTGACCGATCTGTGAAATCACAATGTTATGATTAATATGTTTTAATAAGTAAAGGACTTATTCTAGTCACTAGACACACTGATACACTAAGGTAAATAATCACATGAACCATTGCTGTTGCAAATCCAATCAGAATCGTCCTAGTCTGAAGCGTGGCAGAGCCTCTGTGGTGTTTATTAAATCTGTCAGCTTTGATTCGTCCAGAATCATAAACATCCAGATTAATAAAACAGTCCAACACCATTTTCAAGTTCAGTATTCAACAAGATCTCAAGATCCCCTGAAGTTCACCGCATGCTAAGTGAAGTATGGACAGGCCATCTATACTCTTCTTTTTAAGCTAAGAACTGCCAAGCTGGGAACACCTGTCGTTGTTATCAACAAACAACGGTTCCTTCAGAATAAAAGCTGAACTCGCTGACCCAAGGAGGGTCCCTTTGACGCTGTGAAACACCTGTCGCTTTTTACCTGGAGACAATCCAAAGACTGGCTTGTCGTGCTGTCAACGCTGTTTCATCGGCTCCAGTACCAGAGGAAGGTCATGAACCTGGCATCCTGATCTGTACGGGAGTCTCACTGAGGGTATGTGGATGCGACACAAATGGCGTCTCATGTTTTTATGACCACGGTTCAAACGTTGATCAATTAGGAGCAAAACATCATCTCCCACTCAGACTTGCTTCTCCAGAAACGGAGGTTCTGAACTGACATCATACCAACACACACTCCATCTCACACTTCATTCCAACAAACATCCATCATTAGAGAGTCAGTCTTGTTAAACAGTTTAAAATCATTTAGATAATAAATTTTCCTAAATGTCTGAAAGTCTCTCAGTTCATGCAAAGTTATTTAATTTCTCTGTAATAAAAAGAACCAATCTTCTGATTTAAATAACCCAGTGTCCATTAGATGGGATCCATACTAGATATGGATCTTTAATGTCTATGGTCATTAATTACATTGTAACTCTTTAACACTACAAAAGGAACAAAACAGTTAGAAGTTTTTCTTTAACTGTAAAACATTTTAAGAAAAATCTGATTTCTTCTTTCAGTTGTACCCCCGACTAAGCAAACATTATATTTAGTGAATACATGATTTGTCTCATTGTGTTTGGACTATCTTGGACACACTGACACCACCATGAAGGTCTTCAGGCACTAACCTGGAACTCCCTGTTCCTCTGCTGCAGGCCTGCGTTCAGGACCTCCTCTGACCCCAACCTGGCAGTGGTACTACTGATCTCCAAGTCCTCCCTTCAGAGACAAAGACCATATGATAAAAAGATCAACCTTCAGAGCCATTTCTACAACTGAAACCATTTTGGTGGGAATCCCAAGAAGAGAAGCTGCCAGTCACTCAGATGGTTTTTCCTAAAGTGACAGAGCCCTGGAACGGCTCATTGTGGAAGGTCCTAAAACCGTCCAAAATAAAACGGCTCAAATCTCTATGTGACAGGGATCTAGTGCAAAAAACTTCTCAAACATGTTTTGTATGGACCACGGCACCATTATACCGTAAGAGAATAAGTCAAAACATGTCTGCTTTTAACAACAAACTGCAGCTTTGAATCTGATCTCTGGAAAGTTTCACACCTTCTGATGAAAACAGCTGACAAGTGCACCATGACAACAAACAGTTCTGAGGAGGGAGGGGAACCATAGCTCGCATTAACCAAGGTCTCCCTATAGTTTAAAGGTTGCGGTTTTGCACTTCTTTGGAGCCGATCAAGCTAATGGAACATGAAGTACGGTGATCCACCAGAAAGGTCAGGAACACAGCAGCCTTTGTTTGAACCCACCAGCATGACATCATTCTGATAAAGCTTCACTAATCCGACACATTTTTTCTACTAGACGTGTCATTCATTTTTATTAAAGTTGAGGAGGATGCTCAGACTGTAGGGGTCTTTTCTGACAGATGGCTCTTGTGTTTAGTTTATTGGGGGAGGATAGCAACGTCCTACTGAAGGCCTGGACATACAGACTCTCTGCTCTTACGCCTGAGGACACAAGCATCTCACTAAAGTAAATATAGGCCTAGTCTCTATAAGATCTGATAGAAGCAGCCTTGATTTCAGAGGAAACATGACTGAAAGTTGTTAACTTCACCAGTTGAAACTTGTCTCCATGACTGCTGCTCCATGTGGGCTCAGATGGCAGCCTGCTCCATGGCTAGCATGAATGTTTATGATTATAGAGGTGGTTGCATCACGAAATCTGACTGGAAGGTCTGGATCTTCTTTGAAGCACCTGTGACTAATTACATGTTTAGAAGAACTCCACAGCGATGAAATGAATCCTCCCCTGTTCCTCGGTTAAGGGCACCCCCCCCCAGGTGTAGATGCTAACGAGATAAACGTCACATGATCTCTGAGATTCTCGTTAGAGAAAAGTGAAGACAAAAGAAGAAAGGAAGGCCTGTGGTGACTTTAGGGTGTGTGATCATCAGCACCTGCTCCCTCCTCCTCTCTGCTTCTGGCTCTCAGCCTCCCATCCAAACTCTCTAACTGTAGAACGGTTAGGGCTAGAAGAGGTCTGATGCACACTGAACACGTTTCATTCCGCTCACTTCTCAAGCAGTAACCAGTGGATTCAGCCCACCGGAACCTGCTGACGCGTCTCACCTGTGTTGTGTTTTATTTGGGCTCCTTTTCTCCACTCTGCCTGATGATCAGCAGCAGTTCTGTGTGAAGTTCTCCAGTCTGTCTTCGTCCCGGTTATGACCTTGCTCCTGTTTTTCCTCGCCCTGTTGGACTCTACAACGACCCCCCCTTCTGACAATGTCTTCACCCGCTGGACAGATTTTGCTGCTGGATGAGTATTCCAGTGAAACCATCCTGACATATCTGGTGAAGGAGAAGCTGAGCTGCTGACACATCATGGAGGAGCTTCTCCTGAGCGTTGGTGACTCCCGCCAGTTCTGGACAGTTGATGAGTCCTTTAGAACATGTCCTCTGTGTCATGGTCGGCGTCTGCGTCTCCCTCATGTGCCTCCTTGTGTTCTCCATCCCCCTGTAGGATCCCCTTATGTGTCTCTTTGTGTTGCTCATGTGTCCCCTTGTCTGCAGCCCCTCCAGGTTCTCCCCCAGGTATCCCCCCAGGTCCTGTGCTCCCGTTGGTCTCCCCTAGTTACCTCTCTGTAGTTTTTCTATAGGTTTGGCTTTTCATTTAATTAGTCTCATTTAGTGTGTTTCTTTCCCCACCGGTTTTATAGTTCTCCTTCCTCCTTCCTCCTTAGAACATTAGTTATTCATCTTGCTCTTCTTGTCTTTAGGTTTTGTTTTTACTCTTAGGTCATGTTATTTTCCCCTCCTCAGCTCACTTTCCTCTCCCAGATTAGTTAAATTGATTTCACTAGGTTTCTCTCCCAACGCACCTGCAGCTCATCTCCCACTCATCCTGCCCCGGCGTATTTAACCCTGTCTGTGTCTCAGTGTGGGATTGGTTCATTGTACGTGTCAGCGTTGTTTAGTCCTCCCCCCCGCTTAGCTCACTAGGATTTTGTTGGCTCTGCCCTCCTAGGAATTTTTGGCTTTGTGCTCCATTTGGTTTTCTTAGACTCATCATCTTAATAAAGATGTCTAATTTTACATCCTCTCCTGCTTCGAGTCATTCTGGGTATCTGCATTTTGGGTTCTACTCCTCCTCCTCCAACCCTCAGCGTGACCGAATGAACCAACCAACCCAGGACCCAGCAGTAACCCCAGGTAATTCGGACCTGAGCCAAGGGATGTACACCTTCGACAGTGACCCGGACACCTGTCGGAATTTTATTTGGGACTGTGTGTGCTTTATGGGCATGGATGGTTTGGACATTGATTTAGTTAGTTCTATGGTGTTCTGTCTAAAGGGTAGAGCCCTGCAATGGGCCACCCACTATCTTGAGCTTTACCCCATAGAGGAGATTAATTTTTGGTATTTCGCCAAGGCTCTGCAAGATGCCTTCTGCAACCCACAACCACCCTCTTCACTCACCTCCACACCTTCATCTGGCCCAGGCAGCACTACTGACTTTTCTCCGGTGGACTGCCATCTGTCAGCTGCCTCCGTTTTATTAGGCGCCCTCTCTGCATCTCCGAGGGACCTAACCTCCACACCTCCATCCGGTCCGGACAGCGCTGCCTCCTCGTCCCTGGTGGGCTGTTCTTCACCCTTGTCCTCTGCTTCAGCCGGTGCCATCGCGGCATCTCCAATGGGCCGAGCCAACACCCCCCCACCTGGTTCAGATAGCACTACCGGCGTTATCCCCGCACCTCCGATGAGCCGTACTCATCGACGATGTCGCAACCGTCGCCAGCTCCACCTACCATCACCGCCAGCTCAGTCCGAGCTCCAGCCCGTCCAAGAGGCCCTGTTCCAGCCTGTCCTAGAGGCCCTGCCTGCAGTGTCTCTGACTCCAGAGCCCACGCCGCAGCGTCTTCCGGAGTCCACGCCGCTGTGTCTTCCGGAGTCCACGCCGCTGCGTCTTCCAGAGTCCACGCCGCTGCGTCTTCCAGAGTCCACGCCGCTGCGTCTTCCAGAGTCCACGCCGCTGCGTCTTCCAGAGTCCACGCCGCTGCGTCTTCCAGAGTCCACGCTGCTGCGTCTTCCAGAGTTCCAGAGACTAAGGTCCAGCCTGCAGAGGAATCTTCGCCTCCAGAGTCCTCGTCCCTTCCTCGCCCTCCTCCAGATTCCTCGTCTCCTCAGTCTACTGAGTATCCTACGCCCCGGCTCCTGGTTCCCCGTCGCTTCTTAATAAAGATGTTTATTTTTACATCCTCTCCTGCTCCGAGTCGTTCTGGGTATCTGCATTTTGGGTTCTACTCCTCCTCCCCCAACCCTCAGCGTGACACTCTGCTTTGTTGGGTCCCCTGTTCCAGATCATCTAACATCCAGAACAACGTTTCAGAACGTTTTGTCAGTGCATGTTTGACTGGAAGTGCAAGACTTTTTATTTTATTTTATTTTATTTTAAAATGAGGTTAGAATATTTTATAGGCAGGTTTCAAAACCCCTTAACAAGACACTGCATGTTCTGCTGAACCGAACTTCATATCATGACCGTAGAGGAAACCATTTCACCAGTTACCTCCATGTGTCTGATTCCTGTGAAACAGGTTCACTATCACAGTTATTGGTAGCTTCAGTACTAAAGTGAGATCCTCTGCTCTGAGCCGTCGCAGACAGACGTTATAACGACTGAAACAGTAGAGGAGCCTCACCTTCTGATGAGATCTTCCAGACCAGTCCTCATCTTCTCCATTTCTCCAGAACCCTTCAGAGCAGATCCACTGTCTCCTTCCAGCTTCCTCCTTGTCTGAAGCAAAGATACAGGCATAGGCGTCATTTTAACCGGGGACGCCAGGGACATGTCCCCGGCAAAATTTGTGATTGGCAGCTGTGCCCCCCCCCCCCCCCCCCCCCACACACACACACACACACTTTCAAAAACGCCTGCTGATGAGGATTTTTGTTTTACCAGCTCAGATCTTATCCAGGGGTCGGCAACCTGTTCCCATCAAAGAGACATTATTACCCGTTTCCCACGGTAATTTTGGACGGACCTTAATAAGCAGTGACTTAAGTGAAGCAGGCAGGTCGCGCTAGAAAATTTCGTTTTAAAAGACGTCATAAATGTTTTCCCCCGTCCTTTTTATTTATAAAATATGAAGTAAAAACTCACAATTTAATTTTCATTCATTTGTCATTAACATGTAGTCTACACCCGTGCGTTAAGTGGACCATCTTCCAGTAAAAGCAAAGCATCCAGCCCACCTCTCCAAATGCATAAAATGTGCATCAGCCGCTAGTTAGGCGCACCGCGCGCACCGTCAGCTACGTCAGCCCAGACAAGAACAGAGCAAATAGAGAAAGAATAAAGGATAATTGTGTCTGGATGTGGATGGAGATTACATTTTACAGCAGCCTGATCATCATTTAAATACATAAACCATCACCCGTCTTCTAGTCCACGCTATCAGCATTATTTTAATTGGTGTGTGTGTGTGTGTGTGTGTGTGTCTGTGTGTGTGTTTTCCACTTCAAACACTGGTCTAACCAACCAGACCAGTGTGTCCAGTAACATATTAATGTTACAATTAAACAGTTTCCCTTCATGTAGGCTAGGAACGTTTCACCTGCCGTGGCCCGACCGCTTCTGCTCCACATGAACTTTGTGTGTGATCAAATGTCTCTACGCGTCATGCGTCTCCATATTAGAGACGGGAACAAGCGCTGTTCAGCCAAAGTTTCATAATTTCATAAAAAGAACATTTTTCCAAGTGACACATCCCTCAGAGAGACCGCGTTTCCAGACTGTTTCAGTGGGAGGAGATCTCATCGCATGCACCATGGTTCTGCGCTGCGCTGCGAACCCCAGATCTTCAGCCCACTGTCCACCGTGGGCGCTCCGAGCCGCGCTGAACACAGTGTCCAGTATAAAGCTCTGATGTTCTGATGGGAATATTTGACCTCCGCGTGTGCGTTAACGATTAAAATGTCAGCTCATCCATGCGCATCAGTGTGCGTCTGGGTAATTCTTTCAAACCAAGCAACATCCTTGAGTTCATCTGTCAAAATAAACAGTCAAATGGAAATATCTGTAACCTGCCGTTTAACTGTTTTGCCTTCCTGTGAAGATTGTTGCAAAGAGAAACAATTAAACTTGATTAACCCCAGAGCCACCCAGAGAACCAGAGCGCATGCGGGAAGATTCCTCCCACTGAAGCGAGTGTTTTCCAAACCCGGTCGCTCAGAGAGACTTGTCACTTAGAAAATGTTCCCTGATTATGAAACGTTGGCTGAATAGTGCTTGTTCCTGTCTCCAATGTGGCGACACATCCAGGAGCCGTCTGAGGAGAATCCCAGAATCTCACATCCTCTTCAGCTCATAAAGTGCCCATATGATTACGCACAAGCGTGACGCGTCAACCACCGCAGACCGGGTTGGACCTGTTCAGGTTTACGCAGACAATCTTTACATTTAGAATTGACTTACAGATGTAAAATTAACGCAGTAAAATATAAAGCATTTTATTTAAATATCCATTCATTATTTTACAAGCACAGAGAGCCACATCAGATGGATGGAAGAGCCGCATGCGGCTCCAGAGCCGCGGATTGCCGACCCCTGTGCTAGCTTACTTTATTGTCCCCAGCAATTTTTAAACCCCACTCAAGTGTATGGTTATTGTCCCCAGCAATTCTGAAAACAAACTGACACCCTTGGATACAGGACAGTCTTATCCAGCTGGGCATTTGTGTTTACCGAACTTGTTTCTTTGCTGAGGGTGCGATGGCTAAAAAACCGTTCTAAATCACCTCATTTCAAGATTCTTTCTAAATAATTAAACTGACTTGATTTTTTCTCCAGTAAAGAAAGAAAGAAAACAATATTTTTTATGATAAATGACCCGCACTTGTATAGCGCCTCTCAAGATAAAATTCACGAGGCGCGAGCATCGCAGCGCCGTTAGTGATGTTTCTCCACTTCTCACCAAGAAGGTGCTAGCACACCTTTCCATTTGGAGCAGGCACATGTTTAGTCTTCAGCATAACATAGTCGTTTCCATTTCTATAGAACAGCCTCTTGTTGGTTTAGATTTAGGAGAAAGAAACTTTGAGCTGCTACAAATATTGTTATTTTCTGCTGTCTTTGGTCAGCTCACTGACCTTCTCCTCCTCCATCTGCAGCTCCTCAGAGACTTGCTGGATTAAACTAGAGGCAGGGTTTTCTTGCGTTTAGATTTCTGACCAAAGGCACAAATCTGCAAATTCACTAGGAAAGAAAGCAAGTTGCTAAAACAGAAGGTTTTCCTCGAGTCCAAGTCCAGTCTTATGTCAGAGTCGAGCCTTGATCCTTCAGAGAATCGGCTCTTTGTTTGACCTGAGCTCCACTCAAGGCTCTATCTCTGATGTGGAACGAAAACGTTAGCAGAGCGATAGGAATGCCAACGTGTTTGATAGACACACCTTTACTTTGTTCCTGTTTGCTGGAGGCCACAGTCAGGTGAGTGATCTTTACTCACAACCAGCTGTGGTCGACACCACATCCATCATGAGACCATATGGTTCCATTTACCTGAACTCATGGCTCTTTCACAGTCAAGCTGGGGTCAGCTGGGTTTACACATCCATGTACTTCATCCCTTCAGGTGGTTATTTGTGTACAAATGTTGGGCATTCACGATAACTTCATGATAACTCCAGTGGCTTTCTGGAACTGCGCTGCTCTGGGTGGCTGCATGTTGGAGTAGCTCTGTTGACTAGATGTAAGTTTAGCCTTTTCTTGGGTATTTTTTCTTCTAGTTTCTCAAGAAAAACTGTATTTTTTTTTGGACATTTTACTTTTCTGTTTCTGGTGCTGTGAAGCTTGGAGGATTTTTACTGCTATTTTTTAGCTTTTTCACTTTTTGAGCATTTGTTATGATGCGTAACCATGGCAACAAGCTAGTTTACAATCGGGAGCAGCTGATTAACATTGGAAAGGCTGAAATAATACCTCAACTAAAGCCACAAATCCCAAATGAGCTAAAACGCAAGAAGCAAATGGAGACAGAGAAAGAGGAAATTCAAACCATCTCTTCCATCGATCATAATGGGCAATGTGAGATCACTGGTCAACAAGATGGAGGAACTCCGAGCCCTTTCAAGGACTCAGCCAGAGTTTCGGCAGTTTCGGAACCGCTGGAGGAGATGATGCAAAGAAGGATTCTCCAGAGAATCAAAAAAAATGATGGACAACCCTGAGCATTCTCTTCACAAGACTATCTGACAACGGAAGAGTGTCTTCAGTCAGAGGCTTCTTCAGTTTGGCTGCAACACTGACCGCTACTGGAGATCCTTCCTGCCAACAGCCATTGTAATATACAACAACTCTTTGATGACTTCATTATTATTATTATTCTGAGCTACTACAGCAACCAATTTCCCTCTGGGATTAATAAAGTATTTTTGAATTGAACTGAATTGAAAAACTGATGTACATGCTCACCTGGCTGAGCTTCACCAAATGCTCCTTCTCCTTCTGGAGCGTCTGCACAGCCTGGTCCTTTAGCTGAAGCTGCTCTGACAGCCCCCTCACCTCGCTGCCTAACAGCTGTAAACAGCAGGACAGCCAGGTTAAACCAGGTTACAATGGTGGTGATAACATTTGTGAATCAAGAGAAATGAGTCAGACAGCTTGTTGAGCTTGAACACGGCGGCTTCAGCCTGTAGCGTCGGTACAACGACGCAGTCATCATGTTACCTCTTTCTGCTAGACATCAAAGCCTCCTCTACATATCTGAGATCCCGACTCAAACTGAAGACACAAGGATGTAATAAGAAACAGGTGAGAGCAGATGGAGATAAATGCTGGAGATCAAACCCCTTCCTCTTCTGGACCATCATGTCCAGGTGCAGTCTCCTCACTCTCCTCACTCACTCTCCTGCCTCCAGCTCTGGCTGTCGGCATCTGCGATGTCTCATTAGCTGTACATGTGGCCGTGCAGCCCCTGGCCGCTGGTGTGGACTAAACCACTTTGCACATTTTTAAGGGGTGATAGATGCCTCAGAGATTATTCAGTTATTATTTTTAAGGTGAAATTCTGTTTCTTAACCTCTTCATCCAGGTAAAGGGAAATTTATTAAGACATTAAGTAAGTTGGGGGGAAAAAACAACAACAATAAATTATTTTTATTCAAAGCTGTCTCAGGGCCCCTCCCTGCAGTGGGCCCTGGGTAAACGGTACCCCCCACCCCCACCCCCCCCCACCCCCCCCCAGTCCGACGCCCCTGCACACATGACAGATATGGATCCTGGAGTCAGCTTTGATACATGTGAGTCTGGTCTTGTTGCATCCCTTGTAAGGAGACTAGATTCAGCTTCATCCCATAAGTGTGTTTGTAAAGCCTCAGTGAGCTGCTGAATGTGTCATTTCACCTCAACCGAGGAAAAAGCAGACATGTAATAACTCGGAAATAACCCTGTTCCTATTCTGTCAAGCATTTGTTTCCTTTTCGTGTACTAAATCTTTAGAAAAAAGCTAATCATAAAACCGCTAAAAAGTAAAGGTAACCCAAACATGAGACATCCAAGATCTGATTTTAACTTAGTTCTCTACATAGTTAGATGTGCTGATAACAAAATCACACAAAATTATCAATGGGAATCAGATTTATCAATCCATGGTCTGGATGTGGAGTCACACTCATAATAACGTGTACAAACACACTACAGGCTGATCCAGCTTTGATGTAATGGCCTTAGAACAAGTCAGAGTGAGGCTCAGTAGTGTGTGTGCCCTCCACGTGCCTGTATGACCTCCCTACAACACCTGGGCATGCTCCTGATGATGGTGGATGGTCTCATGAAAGATCTCCTCTCAGACCTGGACTAAAGAATCCACCAACTCCTGGACAGTCTGTGGTACATTGTGGCGTTGGTGTATGGAGTGAGACATGACGTCCCACATGTGGTCAATTGGATTCAGGTTGGGGGCACGGGCGAGCCAGTCCATAGCATCAATGCCTTCATCTTGCAGAAACTACATGAGGTCTAGCATAGTCTTGCATTAGAGAGAACCAAGGGCCAACCGCACCAGTCAGGCTATCTCTGGCAGCCACATGGAGGGCTATTTGGCCCCCAAATGTATGGCGCGGTATGGGGGCCAAAATTAAGACTACTGCCCAGCAGCAGGAGGCTATATAAATTCCGAAGCAAACTACCAATCTGATTAATGATAATCTGGCGCCGGTAACTGAGAGGCTGGCGCTGCTTACTGAGAAATAGCACCTTTACCGGCGTTACTACTAGATACGCTAGGGACTAGCAGCCCTCGGCTGGTCATTGACTGGTTCACACACTCCCTCTGCTGTCTGTTAGCATGGATAGGCTGGTGTTAGCATTGGAGAGGCTAGCCATTAGCGTGCCTGGCCACTAGCTGGATTTCCTACCCCCTCGACGGACCTTTAGCATGGATAGGCTGGCGTTAGCATCGGAGAGGCTAGCCATCAGCATGTCTCGGAGAGTCACTTACTCTATTAGATGTGAGTTTTTTGGTACATATTATATAGTTATAATAACGATAACATCACAATTTTTATAATTATTAAACTGTAATTTAATACCAAGGATTTAAAATCCAAAGATGAAAAGTACAACCTAGTTAGCTCTGGCTTTTTCTCTGATATGTGCAAGAAAACCAAACCATATAAAAAGAAAACACCATCAACCTGTAATTAAGAGCAGAATGGAGTTAATGCAGCACCTAATCAATGCTAACAGGCTGTCAGCTTTACAATATGCTTAAAGTTAATGTGTATAACAACGCGTTCTGTCAAAGGAACAACTGTGATTGCAGGTCTCATAGTATGTCATTCGTTTAATAAAAGTAATAAAATAAACAAACACATCTAGTACAGTGGCTCTCCGAGACATGCTAATGTCTAGCCTCTCCGATGCTAACGCCAGCCTATCCATGCTAAAGGTCCGTCGAGGGGATAGGAAATCCAGCTAGTGGCCAGCCTAGGCATGCTAATGGCTAGCCTCTCCGATGCTAACGCCAGCCTATCCATGCTAATGGTCCGTCGAGGAGGTAGGAAATTAGGTTAGTGGCCAGCCTAGGCACGCTAATGGCTAGCCTCTCCAATGCTAACACCAGCCTATCCATGCTAATAGACAGCAGAGGGAGTGTGTGAACCAGTCAATGACCAGCCGAAGGCTGCTAGTCCCTAGCGTATCTAGTAGTAACGCCGGTAAAGGTGCTATTCCTCAGCAGCGCCAGCCTCTCAGTTACCGGCACCAGCTTATCATTAATCAGATCGGTAGTTTGCTTCAGAATTTATATAGCCTCCTGCTGCTGGGCAGTAGTCTTAATTTTGGCCCCCATACCGCGCCATACTAAGGAAGGCCACCCCTCACCATTACTGACCCACTGCCAAACTGGCCCTGCTGGAGGATGTTGCAGGCAGCAGAATGCTCTCCACGGTGTCTCCAGACTCTGTCTGAAACCTTGTCTTCTTGTGTTGTCATGTGGCATTTTCTTACTCTGTAGTCCAGCTGTTGCCCAGCCGTGTTGCTGCCTGATGATATCTGGCTCAAATTGGCCGAACAGAGTTCTAGTCTTGAATCCGCAGAAAGCAAAAACATAGTTGGCATATGTGTGGAAGTCTTATTTTGGAAATTTTCATTATTTTGAAATGACCAGTAATGTGAATCAGTGGTAGCGAACAGTAGAACAGTAGTAACATAGTTTTGGAGCCAAATGGCATCAGGGAACAAAGCAGCTGGACAACAGAGAAAGATGACATAACCTGACGAGTAGTTTTAACGACAGCAGGCGACAACATGACAGAACAAGACAACATCGCGTGTTGGCAGGTTGTAACCACAGAGTAAGAACTCAGCCCGTCAAGTTTTAAGGACACAATCAGAACCTCATGGTGCCAGGCGGTCAGATGGGAAACCTGCCATAATGGAGTAAAGCGCTTTCCTCACATCGACTTTTCATTAGCTACACGTCACATTCAGCCAGCAGCACGTTAGTTTGTCCCCCAAAATCAGACCGACACAATGCAAAACTTGAGCAGGTCAGAGAGCTGCTCACACACAAAGGTGGGATTATCTGATAAGATAATCTTTGTTACCTTAATGGTAATCATGCACATCCTTAAGATCGTCAGAAGCGGGTCAAAAATAGCACGATTATGCTGTTGTGTGAACAAAGAAATGGCTTTAAGTGGGAACTAGATGTTTTCTAGAAAAGCATGGTAACACTTTACAATAAGGGTCCCTTTATTGACCTTCCTGATATGAACTATTAAGTGTCCTTAAAGTTAGGACAAAAGGCCGGGGAGGGGGTGAGGTGTCTGCTTAGTAATGCAAATAATAGTAAAGCATTAACAGTTTGTTAATGCTTAATAACGCACTAAGTAATGTTAACAAAGGGGCCCTTATTGTAAAGTTTTACTGAAGCATGAACGTCGGTGGAGTCAGTGTCATTTAAAAGTTTGATGGAAAGAAAGTGAACAGAATAAAACCTCAAAGCAGAGTCAGTATTATTCATCTGTAGGAATGACCCAATAATCATTATCCTGGGTTTGGTACTCTGGACCAAGTTGGCTGTGCAACTACTCGGCCTCCAAGGTAACACATTTTATTAAAGTTTTAGTCTACAGGTGAAACAGGAAAAATCTGAATCTGGTACAAAAGTCCATTCATGTCCAGCTCAGACTGAGAGACCATCTAAAGGCTCAGCAGCCCTCTGCAGGTGTTCTGGATTCATTAGCTGATTAGTGTGACACTTTGAGTCTAGAATGTTTAACCTTTCCACAGTATTAGTCTCACCTTTTAAGTTTGATTGCTGACATAAATGAAGCTTGCACCATAATCTCCAGGTTCACCTGTGGTTCATCAGCCACGGTAGGAATTCAGTTGATTTCTTTTACGTGAGATGCTGTTTTGGTAACAGGTTCTTGATCAAAGTCTTCACTAGTCCACAAAGGACTTCCTGTTTTGTTTCCCAAAGTGTCCTACCTGTTTCTCTTGCTCAGCTACGGTCAGTGCGCTCTCTAGATCCTCCAGGTCTTGTCTGAGGCTGCTGCACTCTGCTTCCAGCCTGTCCCTGTGGAGGAGCAGCTGAGCAGAACAGGCCTCCTCCTCCTCCAGACGATCTGACAGACCTGACAGATGCCGCTCCAGTTCTCGCTGGGCCTTCTCCAGTCGGACACAGTGCTGCCCGGCCACCTGGGCATGCTCCTGCTCCTAAGGTTAAACAAACTCATGGTCACTGTGGGAACATTAGCCATCATTGGGAGTGAATCCCTGTCTGATACCTTTCAGAGTCAGAGGACTCCAAAGCGCTTTACACTACAGTGTATCCGTCACCCATTCACACTGGTGGAGATGAACTACGATGTAGCTACAGCTGCCCTGTCTACTGCCACTGACAGAGGTGACAAATCGTAATTCAATATCTGGTTATATTTAAATGTGTTCTTTCTACACTCGCAACCACTTTATTTCCCAAAGACTGGCTCATACAGCTACTTCTTCTGGGTTATTGGGGTTTGGGACATGCCCACTCACTGACTTTACTTAGTGTTTCACCTTAACTTATTTCCTGGAAAGTTTGAACTTTAGTTAGTTCAGTAATGTAGAAACAGCAGATTCCTTACATACATAAAGAGCATCTTCCACGTTAAACTAGTGTTGACGCCCTTATACTGTAACAGGTCTAAACTTTATATTTTCATTAAAAAGGAAGATATTTAAGAAAGAAAGGTGCTCTTACTGTTCCTACTAGGCTTAACCTAGCTCAGGGGTTGGCAACCTGTTCCCATCAAAGAGACATTATTACCCGTTTCCCACAGTAAAGAAAACACTGGGAGCCACAGCAGCCGCGGCGTTGTGGGCGGGGCCTACCCTCAGACAGCAGAGAGCTGCTTTAACCAATCACAACAGGTGACAGCAGCCAGTACCGGTCGCTCGTGTACGTCAAAGTTATCTTTCATAAGCTCCAGAGCCGCGGGTTGCCGACCCCCGACCCCGCTCATCCATCTAAAAACAGCGCCTCTTGCTGGAAACTGGAAGTGACATCGCTCAAGAAAAAGGTTCCTGACTGTGCTCAAAAAACATAAAGGTTTAATACTGAAGCCATTGCATTTTGGGCCAGCAGCAAGAGTTGACTGACCGAGCAATAGACAGATCACAATGTGTAGCCCCGGCTCGTGTCGAGTCTACACATTACTCAGATTCTCCTGAGGTTGGAAAACTCCAAATCTCGCAAGAATTCATCTTGCAACGCAAGGTTAAGAGTTGATGGGAACAGGCAAAACAGGGATGATGTTTTAAATGATGAAGAAGAGCTGCTGATTCGTGGGAACTTCAAAACGCACACAGACTTGGAAACCCTAACTGGTAAGAGCATTTTTAATTTAAATATATTTCAACCAAAACTTGTCCCCTGACATATTACATCAACTATGTTTGCATAAAAATAGCATCCATCCATCCATTTTCTTCTGCTTATTCAGAGTCGGGTCACGGGGGCAGTAGCCTAAGTCGAGGGGCCCAGACTTTCCTCTCCCCAGTCACTTGGGCCAGCTCCTCCGGGGGATTTCCAAGGCGTTCCCTGGCCAGGTGAGAGATATAGTCTCTCCAACATGTCTTGGGTCTACCTTTAGGTCTCCTCCCGGTTGGACGTGCTCGGAAAACCTTACCAGAGAAGCATCCAGGAAGCATCTGGACCAGATGCCCGAGCCACCTCAACTGGCTCCTCTCGATGTGGAGGAGCAGCAAATCTATTCCGAGCCCCTCTCGGATTACTGAGGTTCTCACCCTATCTCTATCACCCTATCCAGCCACCCTGTGGAGAAAACTCACTTTGGCCGCTTGTATTCGCGATCTCGTCACTACCCAAAGCTCGTGACCATAGGTGAGGGTAGGAACGTAGATCGACCGGTAAATTGAGAGCTTCGCCTTCTGACTCAGCTCTCTCTTCACCACGACAGACCGGTACAACGCCCGCATCACTGCAGATACAGCACCTGCCGACTTCCCTTGATTTAGTATTTTTAAACACCTGCTAGTTATTTGAAAACCTGGAAGGATAACCAACGTAACATTCTGACCATTTTAAAGAACATTAAAGACACTTTAAATTGCAAGCATGCCGTCTAATCCAATTGGGTGTTTGTTACCCACAGCTGCTGGCTTATGCTCCAGTGTGGCACTGTAGCCATCCCAGTCCAGTTCCTCGGGTTCTGGTTCTGGTCCAGTGTCTGTGCTAGTCCCATTTGTTTCCTCAAAGCCATCAGAGAGGGAGTGGCAGCCCTGACTTTGTCCCACAGACATTCTTTGAATGAAACCAGTCCACCTGTTTAGTACTGTGGCATCTTCTCCAACATAGAAAACAAATTTCTTTGACTGACTGGTTTTTCTGCTTCTCTCGTTGTTCCAGGTGGATAAAAAAATGGTGGTAAATTACTCCCTTGTGTATCGTCAGTCCAGACGCTCCCAGCAAAGGCCAAGGGAGCTCTCCAGTTTCCAGCAGGATGTATTCCAAATATATCCTCACCTCCTCATAGAGAGTGGTTGGTTTAGGATGTCTGACAGAGGGAAAGGCTCCTATATTGTGGATACAACATCTCAGCTCTCATCTTTATCATAAAGCTGCAGCATAAAAAAGCTCAAGAGAAGGAGGGCAGAAATCCAGAGTAAGAATGTATTTTCCTCCCCCGATTAAAACGGACATAAATGTCTTGTGTGCACACGCCCACAAAGCCCTAAATGCCACAGCATTCATCTTAGAAGGACAACAAGACATATTGTCCCTGAGACTTTTTCAGATTTTTTTCTGACTGAAGCCACAGAAACGGGTAAATGTAAGGCTCTGTCAGACTCGAAGACTGGGTTCGGGAGTAAGAGCTTTTATTACACATACGGTTGGCTGAAAGCGGTGCTGGAAAGGCTGACGGATGAGGTCTGAGGAGGAAAGGTGGAGGTTTAGCTGTGGTAGCTTTGGAATACTCTGATCATGGATCACGGTGGAACGATGACTGAGTGAAGAGCCGGTGTGGCGTCTTCCATATATAGACATGGATTGACGCAGGTGCAACATGGAGGGAATCCCCGCGAGGGGCATGCTGGGTAATGTGGTCCAAGACTGAAGCCGGTCAGCTGGGAGAGCCCGGCCTGGGAGCTTGGACTCTGACAGGACCCCCCGGTCCAGGGACGGCTCCAGAAGTCCCCGGGCCACCTCGGTGGGCCCAGAAGTCCGAGATGAGGGAAGGGTCCAAGATGGAGCGGGCCGGCTCCCAGGAGCATTCCTCTGGGCCGTAGTCCGCCCAGTCTACGAGGTACTGCCAGCCCCGACCCCGGCGGCGAGCGTCCAGAATGCGCCGGACTGTGTAGATGGGCTCCCCGTCGAGGAAGCGGGCCGGCGGAGGTGCTGGAGCCTGAGGTGGCAGGAGGGGGGATTCCACGTAAGGCTTGAGCCGGGAGGTGTGGAAGGTAGGATGGACGCGAAGGCTTGCAGGCAGCCGCAGCCGGTACGTGACCGGGTTGTTGACCTCCTGCACGGGGTAGGGCCCGAGGAACCGGGGAGCGAGCTTCCTGGAACCGGCACGGACCCGGAGGCCTGCCGTGGACACCCAGACCTTGTCCCCTGGAGCATAGGAGGGACCCGGGCGGTGCCTGCGGAGGTGTTGGTGTGAGTAACGGGCGTTGGCCTGGGTAATGGAGGCCCGCGCCTTGATCCATGCGTTCTTGCAGCGTCTCACCAGGGATTGAGCGGCTGGCACCGCGACTTCGGGTTCCTGGTGGGCGAAGACTGGGGGCTGGTAGCCAGAGCAGACCTCGAAAGGGGACATCTGAGTGGCCGAGGAGGTGTGGAGATTATGAGACAGCTCCGCCCAGAGGAGGTACCTAGGCCACTGCGAGGGCTGGGCCGAGACAAAGCAGCGGAGGTACCGGCCCAACTGTTGGTTCGCCCGCTCCGATTGACCGTTGGTCTGTGGGTGGTAGCCAGAAGACAGGCTGACAGAAGCTCCCACTAGATGGCAGAAGGCTTTCCAGAAACGGGCCGTGAACTGGGGACCACGATCGAGACCACGTCGACCGGGAACCCGTGGAGACGCACCACATTCTCCAGAAACAGTTCTGCAGTGCGTCGGGCCGAGGGAAGGCCCGGGAGGGCGATGAAGTGAACAGCTTTGGAAAACCGGTCAGTGACCGTTAGGATGGTGTCGAGGTCGTTGACCGGCGGGAGACCTGTGACAAAGTCCAGCCCCACATGGGACCAGGGGCGGCTGGGCACCGGAAGAGGTCTGAGGGTGCCAACCGGAGCCTGGGTGGATGCCTTAGAGCGGGCGCAGACGTCACAGGCGCTCGTGAATTCCTTAACGTCCCTCTCCATACGTGGCCACCAGAGAGCCCGTTTCAAGAACTTGAGAGTCCGAGAGAAGCCCGCGTGACCAGACAGGCGTGATGAGTGGGCCCAGGCCAACGCCTCACTGCGACAGGCCGCGGGGACGTAGAGCCGACCGGCGGGGGTCTCTGGCGGCGCTGGGTCATCCCGGAGGGCGTTTTGGATGGCCTCCTCCAACGGCCACCCAAGGTGGGCCACGAAACGGTGCTCCGGGAGGATGGGCGCCGGCTCGGACGTGGGCGCTGAATGCGTGAACTGGCGGGAGAGGGCGTTCGCCTTCTGGTTTTTAGTCCCGGGGCGATAGGCGAGATGGAACTCGTAGGGTTCGAAGAAGAGGGCCCAGCGAGCCTGGCGAGGATTTAGCTGCTTGGCGGACCGGATGTGGGTTAGGTTCTGGTGGTCAGTCCAGATGGTGAACGGCTGAGTGGTGCCCAGAAGCCACTGCCTCCATTCCTCCAACGCCCATTTTATGGCCAGCAGCTCGCGATCCCCTACGCCGTACTTCTGCTGGGTGGTGGAAAACTTCCTGGAGAAGTAGGTGCAGGGATGTAGCCTGTCATCTGGGCCGCCTTGGGACAGGATGGCGCCGGCGCCGACATCCGAAGCATCGACCTCGACCACAAAAGGGACTGCCTGATCCGGATGGCGCAGGATAGGAGCCGATGTGAAACGAGCGACTAGGTAGTGGAAGGCCCGAACGGCATCTGGGGTGAGCCGGAACGGCTGACCAGGAGGGCTCGGTCGGGTGAGAGAGGTGAGAGGCGCTACAATGGTGCTAAAGTCTTTGATAAATTGACGGTAAAAGTTGCAGAAACCCAGAAAACTCTGCAGTTGCTTCAGGCTGGTTGGTAGGGGCCAGTCCTTCACCGCCTGGACTTTCTGAGGGTCCATAGTTAGACCTTGGTCCGAAATCAGGTAGCCCAGGAATGAAACGGACCGCTGGTGGAAGGAGCACTTTTCAGGCTTACAGAACAGGTTGTTGTCCAGGAGCCGGGTCAGGACAGCGCGAACATGGTGGTGGTGTTCGGCCTCTGACTTGGAGTAGATCAGAATGTCATCCAGGTAGGCAAACACCCACCGTCCCAACATGTCACGGAGGTCATCATTGATGAAGCGTTGGAAAACGGCGGGGCTATTGCACAGTCCGAAGGGCATCACCTGGTACTCCCAGTGACCGGTGGGGGTGATGAACGCCGTCTTCCACTCATCTCCAGCTTTGATACGGATCAGGTTGTAGGCGCTCCGGAGGTCCAGCTTGGTGAAAATCCGCGCCTGGGAGATGGCATCCAGGGCGGACGTGAGGAGCGGCAGAGGATGGCGATCTCTGACTGTGATCTTGTTCAGTCCCCTGTAATCTATACAGGGGCGGAGATCACCCTCCTTTTTCCTCACAAAGAAGAAGCCTGCGGCACCTGGGGACGACGAGGGTCGGATGAAACCCTGCTGGAGGGCCTGGTCAATATATTCCTCCATGGCTCTGGACTCGGCGGGAGAGAGAGAAAAAAGGCGCCCCCGGGGTGGACTGGTTCCTGGTTGCAGCTTGATTTCCATGTCGTACGGGCGGTGAGGCGGCAGTGTGGTGGCGCGCCGCTTGTCGAACACCGCAGCCAGGTCCCGGTAGGGCAGTGGCAGATTGGGCGGTGTTGGGCCAGGGTCACCGGTCGGGCAGTCTGGCATGGATGGAGGAGGAGAGAGGTGGGCCTGGCACTGGGTCCCCCATTCCAAAAGGCGGCCCTGGGACCAGGAAATCCGGGGGTCATGGAGACGGAGCCAGGGAAATCCCAGGATTAGAGGAGAGGAGGGAGCACATATGATCAGGAACTGGAGGGTCTCTCTGTGGCCTTGGACAATCATCTGGAGTGGCTGGGTTCGGTTTTGGACCGGATAGGGTTGGAGGGGCCTACCGTCCACCGAGGTCGCTGGCACAACTCTCTCCAAGGGGGTCATGGGGATCCGTAGGCGCTTAGCCAGATCCATGTCCATAAAATTGTCAGCAGCCCCCGAGTCCACCAGCACGTGCATCTGGAGTGAGGCCTCACCATGAAGGAGGGTAACATGAAGAAGGAGTCTATTTGAAGAGGCGGGGGCTGAAGGTGACCCAGGCTGAGCGACCCCGATACTGAGTGGGTTCCTTCGTTTCCCAAACGTAATGGACAATTCAGGCGTCTGTGGTGGGAGGAGCCACAATAAGCACAGAGACCCCCGCGCCACCGTCGCTGTCTCTCCTCTGGAGGAAGGTGGCCTAATTGCATGGGCTCATCAGTAGAAGCGGGTCCGGGAGCAGGCGTGGGGGAGCGAGGAAGAGGTCCAGGCGCCCTGGATGGGCGAGTGAAGGGCTTGGGCCGAACCAGAACCCGCTGATCCATGCGCAGCGCCAGATCCACCACTTCATCCAGGTTCTGAGGCAGCTCCTTTCCCGCCATCTCATCCCGGATGTAGGTTGCCAGTCCCTCCAAGAAGACGGCTCGAAGGGCAGAGTCATCCCACCGCAGCTTGGCGGAGATGGTGCGGAACTCCGACGCATATGCGCACACAGAGCGCTCCTTCTGGCGGAGTTTTAGGAGTCGTGCCTCTGCCCCCATTTCGCTGCTGGGTGGAACAAACGTCTTTCTGAGGGCAGCCATGAATGCAGCGTAGTCATTGCAGGCCGGTGATTTGGAATTATAGAGCGCAGCGGCCCACTCTGCAGCGCGTCCGGTGAGTAGGGAGGTGAGCTGTGCCACTCGAGAGCGCGCAGTGGGGAAGCATCCTGGGTGGCACTCGAACTGCATCTCGAGGGTAGCGAGCAGACCGTCTGGACTCCCCGTCTCTCCATTCCACTTCTCCGGGAGACTGAAGTGTGGCTCTCCCGTCGGGGGAGTGAGGGCTTGCAGGTGGAGAGCATGAACCTGCTGCTGGAGTGCCGTGACGGCAGTAGACAACTGCATGGAGAGATCGGTCTGGGAGTTCAGTCTGGTGTTAAGCCGGTCGACCTGGGCGTGGAGCTGAACGTTCTCGTTCACCAGTTGCTCCATCTCTCTCTTCACCTGCTCGAACTCGGCTGGATTAATGGACTCAGTCATCCTGTCAGACTCGAAGACTGGGTTCGGGAGTAAGAGCTTTTATTACACATACGGTTGGCTGAAAGCGGTGCTGGAAAGGCTGACGGATGAGGTCTGAGGAGGAAAGGTGGAGGTTTAGCTGTAGTAGCTTTGGAATACTCTGATCATGGATCACGGTGGAACGATG